CATGCACAGAGCTTTGGAGTCATTATTCTCATCCTTACAATAAGAAAAAGCTGCATCAACTGAAAAGCAACTTTTCTTGGATCCATAACAGAACTGCAGACACAGGTCCAACCACCATTCCAAAAGCTAGAGACAAGTGTGTCCAGAGCCATGGCCAAGATCTGCTTACATGAAGCAGAGGCTAGTAAAGCCATAAACTGGTAGGAGCAACTTTACATTAACTGATTAACTGTTACAGGCAGACTTTCTGGGGACTTCTCTACCCCTCCTCCTAATCCAGCCCCTCTAGCCTTCCCATCTGATTTAAGGAAGAAAATCATAGTCAACAGGACAAAAAGCTTCAAAGAACTAGATTATAAATATTGCTGACAGGAAGAGTAGGGGATGGAAGAGCAGGAGATATAATACATTCATGAAGATCAAGCTGGAAACAACAGAGGCCCACTAATGAGACTGAGATTTAATCAGATTAAACATCATCCCCCTTGCCTAACAGATTACAACACAGCCAATAGTGCCAGTATAGAAAATAATGGATTACAGCTAGAAGAGCAAAAATAATACCAAGAAAAAAATCTATACCTACGTTTGTCATACTCAAACTGCAGAAACCAAAGACAAAGACAAAATTTTGGAAGAACCTAGAGAAAAATAACCCATTAGCTAGAGGAACAAGGATAAAATTATAGAATACTTCATTTGAGAAACTAGGTAAGCAAGAAAGTAGAATGAAACATTTAAAGTACTTTGAAAATAAAGCAAGAAATCTAATATTCTATAGCTAGCAAAGTTATCCTTCAAAATTAAAGGAGAAATAAATACTTTCTCAAACAAAAACTGAAAGAATTCACACTGACCAACCTAAAGTCCTTGTTCTGTGAGGAATGGGAATTTTTGGGGGGCAGAATGAAAATGGCATAGCTTAGAAGCTTCAATCTACTTCAAAACATCAGAAAAGACATAAATAAAGATAAAACCTTTTATTTTTCTTATTCTTAATTAGCCTAAAAGATAACTACTTGTCTCAAATTATAACAATAACAACATATTAGGTGATTATGGCACATTAACAAAGGAAGTGAGTCACAGCAATGTTATAAAGGGATAGGAAGGGAGAACTGAGAATACATTGTTATACAGTACCCACTACACTCCAGGCAAGCTTAGCTTAGGTATATTATAAATGTATATTGTAAACTCTAGGGAACCATGACATGCTTTTCTTCCATTTGTTTTTTGTGACCAGGTTTCCCTATGTTGCCCAAGATGACCTTGAACTCCTAGCCTGAAGTGATTCACCTCAGCCTCCTAAGTAGCTAGGACTACAGGTTTGCACCACCTCACATGGCTTAAAAAGTATGTGTATACATATGTATACACATATATACACATGTACGTACATATATCTGTATGTATATGTATATATGTACATACACATGTGTATTTTTGGGTGATGCTGGGCACTGAACCCAAGGCCTTGATGCTAGGCAAGCACTCTTCCTCTGAGGTACATCCTCAGGTCTTTTTCAGACAGAACCTCCCTAAACTGTCCAGGCTGGCCTTAAATTGATGTTCCTCCTACCTCAGCCTCTCAAGTAGCTGGAACTACAAGTGTGTGCCTCTGTGCCTGGTCTGCCTGAAATGTTTTTTAGAAAGAAGTACATCTAGCATACCAAGAGAAAATGGATCATAAAACGCTTAAAACCAGAGGAAGGTAAAAAGGAGGGTCATAGAACAAAAGCAACAAATAGAAAAGAGTACAAACATGGTTAGTATTCACTGAATTGTCAATTATCACTTTACATTTGGAAGGTCCCTCTAATGACAAGGATCACTTAATTTCCTTCTAACTTATACGCTAAACTAGAAGACAGGTTAAGTATTTTAAGGTGCTAACAAGTAAAATATCAAATCAAGAGTTTTGATTTGTTCAAAATAAGGTTCTTCACCATCAGGAGAAACAAATAAAGATATTAATATCAACTGATTCAAGCAGCACGTTTCTCTTTGGAAACAATTTGGTTCAAATTGGCATTTGGCAAAATCTTGCTTCTGTTCACAAATTCCGCATCAGGTGACAAACACGACCACGGCCATCTTCCCCGCACAAACACAAATGCAGTCATCTTCTCCAAAATTGTAAAATAAATTAAGTTTGTAAACTGAGGTACCACTGTACTTACCAAACTGATCAAGTTTGATAATGTCCTTGTGATACAAATGAAACACACAATTAGAAATGGGCAAAATTCTCTCAGCCCTCATGATATGAATTCTGTGCTACTCAGACCATCGTTTAGTCATCATACTTAGTACTAACACCACAGGCAGATTTCTCTTACTACAGACACTGACAGCAGTTAGTGAAAGTGTCTTAGCTACTTTCTTGTCACTGGGACACAGTATCTGACAGCCATGACTTAAAGGTTTATTTTGGCTCATAGCTTGTAGAGGTTTCAGTTCATAGTCGGTTGGCTCCACAGCAGGGCAGCAGAGGAGAAACAGCTCATGGCAGGCAGGAAGCAGAGAAAGATCAAGAGGGAGGGAGATAGACCCTTCTGGGCCACGCGGCAGCGACCCACCTCCTCTGACCAGGCCTCACCTCTTAACATCACACCCAGCCATAAACTCATCAGTGGACTAATCCACTGAGGAGTATCACACCCAATGATCCAGTCACCTCCTGAAAGCCCCACCTATGTGCATATGAGGCCTAACAGAGAGGTAACTGTATTAGAGGGGATGAGTGGGAATTTGGATCCAATTGGACTTTCATCTTTACCAGCTGCATGCCCCAGGGAAGTTATTTGATACATCCGAGTCGCTTTGGTTGATTCATATGTAAAATGGGGATAACTAGACCTTGTGGCTGTGTGATGGTTACCAAGCTAATACACAAAAAGTGCCTAGCTTGTAAAATGAATGAAATGGAATGAATGCAAACTATTGTCTAGGGCTTTGTAGCTTACCAAACTAAAGGCCAAAATTGATACATGCTTATTCAGTCAGTTGTACTGCAGTTTCCCAAAGTACAAGATTCTTCTTTGTCCTTTGAGATTTGCAGGTGAGGAAAGCCACGGGGCACATCAGTTCACGAGGCAGGCATGGGAACAACCAACAAGTGAATTTCCTAGAATGTATGAGGCATGTAAACTCATATTCATGAATTTTTAAATATAATTATTTCAACTTTTTTAGTTAAAAAATCTTATCATGTGCAGTAATTTCATTTACACTTATTTTCCCTTTTAGTATTTAGCACTTGGTCCATAGTTAGTCATCGAAAGCTATAGCAGTTAAAGGTGGACCTATCTTAGAACTTTGCTTTTTGGCATTAGAGCACATCACATTTTCTCTGTCCCAGAAATCCAAAGCTCCCGGTAGGGCAGATTAGCTATTTTCACATCTCCAGTGTGTGGTATTGGAGACTGACCTGAGGGATACTCTACTAAGCTACATCTGCAGCCCCTTTTATTTTTCATTTGGAAACAGGGTTGTGCTGAGTTGCCTAGGCTGGCCTCAAAGTTCCTATCCTTCTGCCTCATTCTCCCCAACAGCCTGGGTTACAGATATGTGCCACTAGGCCTGGCTAACACCTTCCTTCTTTACATCAAGTATAATCATAATCATGTTTTTCTTTTAAAGAGTTTCTATTATCACTGATTATCAAAGCAGTATCATATTGTTTCTCACTTCAGATTTGTACTTTTCCTTTCTACCTAAACTAGAAAAGCATCAGTTTGTTACAGGAAAAAAAATAGTGAATTAAAAATACGATTTACAGTCTGAACTTATCTATGACTCTTTAAGTTTATTGGTACCTTTTAGGTATACAATATGATGATATTTATCATTGGGAGTTTGTACCTTTACATGATGTATCTTGGCTCTTATTTTTCCATTTCCCTGCCCTCCCTTTAGCCCCTCTACCACTCTCTATTTACAAAGACTTTGTTTCCATTTTTTCCTTTTCTAATATTATTTTCCTTTCCCCTTCTCCTTTTTTTTCCTATTTCACATTATCTATTATACATTTTGGTACTCATTTACACCTTTAGTTTCCTCAAAAAACTAGGATTAGAAGTCTCTCATTTGATTCTGCTAGTCCTCTGCTGGGTATCTTCCCAAAAGAATTAAAAGCATCATACCACAGCAATATATGAGCACCCATGTTTATAGCGGCAGTTTGTAATAGCTAAATCTTGGAAACAACCCAAATTCTCATCAACTGGTGACTGGATAAAGGAGACGTGAGTTTTTTGTTTTTTTAAAAAATAAAATGGAGTACTACTCAGCCACAAAGAATGATAAACTAGAGACATTTATAGCTAAAGGGATGCACATTGAGGGATACTCTTAAGTGAAATAAATAGGACACATGTGTAAATACTGAATAGTTTCTCTGGTATGGGTCTTCTTATACAGTGAAAAAATACAATCTGTATAGGTAACTAAAGACAAGAATATTTTTAAGAAATCTCAAGGAAAAAATAAGTAAATTATTTACTTAGTGTTATGGCTTGTGTTTAGATGTTCCCCCAAAGCCTCATGCAGTCATAGGTAGGGCTTATTTAGAGGTGGCTGGATCTAGAGTGTGTGATGCTGGGATTGATTCATGGTGCAATGCTAGGCTCAAGGGCACTAGGATTAAGGGTGTGAGTGCTACCCACCCTAAGTAGTCTGTTTAAGATAAAAGGGATAGAAAAAGCTGTGGCTGACCCTTGTTGCCTTGCTACCTTCTGCCTGCCAGGAACTGTTTCTTCTCTGTGATGCACCCTGCCTTGGAGCCAGCCGATTATGGACTGAAACCTCTACAAACTGTGAGCTAAATAAATCTTTCCTCCCTGAACTTTGGGCATCAGTATTTTGTTTCAGCAACAAGAAAAGTAACTAAGACACTAAGGCTCCATGTCTAACTCAGTGAAGGAATCTTGAAACTATTTTCTTTCTTGTTTTTATGACTTTTGTGAAGAATGTAAACACATTAGTAATAACAGCCATTTATTTGAAGTATCAATTTTTATTAAAAAGTGCATTTTGATTAATTTATGATCTAGGTAAGCTGTAAGGTATAAGTATACTCTCTGGAATAATAACTTTACAAAGATTTAAAACAAACAAAATTTTAAAAGCCTTTTTATTTCCTTCACCATTATTGTTTTACAATACAAATATCACTTTGTGAATACACAAAAAACCCTACAGTAGATAATTCTGCTGCACGTAAAATACAGAATGGATATATATACTTCTTCATTCTTAAAAAACTATTTTGTTCTCCACATTGGCAAGTATAGAATAGAATACTTCCCCAAACATATATATGTTAGGAGTAAAACTTAAGAGTTACATGCAGTTTCTGCACAAATATATTTTAAAGAAATAAATCTCTTTTGTTGTTGACCAACAAAATTGTCATGAGAGTATGGACAACTAATTTGTAGCTTTCAAGTTTTAGATAAGTGATCATTTTCAAAACTCTCTTTAAAAAAAGATATTCATGGCTGTTTTCATAGAGTAGTTAAAATTAAACTACCAAATAGATGATAAAATAATTTAAGTGGTGTCACTGCTACCTGCTCACAATATGTGAACAAGCTCTGACTGTAATAAACATCCCCATTCTTTAATTCAAAGCAATTTTAAAACCATAAGCAGTCTTCTGATTTAATTTAGCTATAAATGCAAAATTTTGTAGTGTATACATAGGTTTATATTTTTATGGAATACTTTATTTTAAATAAAAACATTTAAGATTGCCTACGAACCATACAATCAAGACAAGAAAGGCACTAGAAACATAGACACATTTCTCTCCCAAGAAGCATTTTACATTTTAACTCTCTTCTCTCTGACATGTAAAAATCTTTAAATTTGGTTTTCATAACATCATTTTGAAAAATAAAGTTAGGAAACACTTAGAAAATCACTTTATAACAGAATCTTTTTTTTTTTTTTTTGCACTTTTTGACACACTGTCTCTGTTGATTTTACGAAATCCAAAGTTACCAAACTTCTCTGTGTCTGTCATTTTGATTTGAACATTGGTGCAACAGGTAGGAAGATTTCAGAATTGAACCCCATTCAGGTACTTAGAAACCTTCATAGAGACATTTGCTAGAAAATGGCTTACAGCCCAATATTTGGGGCAAGAGATATGAAAAGTATGTTTTCCCAAGAAAATAATACGCTTTATTTCCAGATGTGACTGGAAAGACCAGAACTTATGATATAAAAGCTTACATTTATACTGCTGTTTCATATACAAAGGAACATGGTGGTCGTGGGTCATGTAAATCCCAAATTTATGAACAGAAAATGTGTACAGTGCACGATACGTTAAATTTTCTTTATTGTTGTCCAACGCAGGTCCTTTGGAGAGAAAAAAAGATCACAGTGCTGACCAGGTAACTCAACAGGTTAAGTCAAGGTAACTGTTGAAAGATAATAGAATTAGGGAGGTGTTTATTTTATGGCATCTTCTCTCATGGAGTTCTTAGCACTTCGGACAGTTCCTCATTCCCCAACTTTGTGTAGCTGTTATGTGTCGTTCACCAACCGGCTGTATTTAACTTGCTTACCAAGGTGGACTACTGGCCAGGGAAAAGGCCAATGGTAAGATCGAGGTACAATTCCCTGAACGTTCTTTTCAAAGTACTGAAATGGCCTGTACCACCACACCCTGGCCAGGAGGTTCATCTGGGAAGCTTCCTTTAGCACCTAAATAAAAAAGAAACATACAAATTATTCTGACTCTCTTTTTGCTTTAATTTCAAATACTTTGCATGCTAAAAGTCACAAGGGAAAGCCTGCCATGGTAGTGTACTCCTGTAATTCCAGCACTCAGGAGGCTGAGGAAGGAGGATCACTGCAAGTTTGAGGCAACCCTGGGCTACCTAGTGAGTCCAAGGCCAACCTCAATTACAAAGCAATACTCTGTTTCCAAAAAAAAGAAAAAAAAAATCACAAGGGATCTCAGACCTGCCCCATGTCCACCCACATATCCCAGTTTCACTCTCAGGTCACCACTCCATCCTCTGCACACATTTGCAAACTGGGCCACACCCCAGCTGTAAATCAAATAATCTCTATTCTGACAGGGCAAAATCTTGTGACATACTGATCTATTGTCTATCAATAAACACCCACTTAGCTTTTTATTCACTCTTCTATGCAGAAAACTGGTACTGGGCCCAGAGTAATGGGAAGAGAGAAGGAATGTAAATGAAGCAATGGGCAGGAGTAGAGCCACCTCCAGTGCTGAGGAGGGGCTTCCGAGGTGACGTACCACTGCCCCCAGTGCTGAGGAGGTGAGCCTTCCGGGTCACCGTACCACTGCCCCCAGCACCAAGGAGATGAGCCATGAAGGCACCAGCATCACACACAACCCCCACCCCCACCCCTGTTGAAATGAGAAGATACATAAACAAATCTCAAAACCAGACTTCCAGATCACCTAAAATCACCTCAAAGGGAAATGAGATGGAACAATCTGATACTCAACCACCTGGACTCCCTGAACTGGCAACAAAAGAGGATCTGGAAAAAATGAAATCAGA